ATCAAGCGTCCTTGCGCCCATGCGTGTACGTGCTCCACACATGCGCCTTCTCTCTCATTTGTACTTATAGTCTATTGTATGGAAGTGTGTGCTCTTAAATACAACTCAACAAACTCTCTGGTCTTCAATGTGGGACTCAAACCCACATCTTTCTCTCTCTATAAAGCTGTTAAGAAAAGAACAATTAAACCAAAACTGTTTTGAAATACATTTAAGCATTTTTCAAACAAAAAATATTAATATCTCTCTCTTTGACAATAGACCCTCTGTCTCTTTTTCTTAGTTTTGTTTCCCTCTTATGGTTCGAGGTAAAATCCATTTGTTTGTTTCGCTACATCTGAGGGTAATATAGTTGAAACCCTTACAATACATTGTAAAAGTAAATAAGAGACTGAATAGTCAACCTCAAAATACTTGATACGGCGCATTATATATTGTACTTGGCTTCTTATTCATTGCTCCTCATTTCCCACGTCTCAATTTATTATATTTGCTTGGGCAACCTTTTTAAAGAGTAAAACTTTTATATAAGGTTGCAATCTTATTCTATAGAAGTGAGGTTTACCTCAAAAATTATGGTCAAAGTGGTATTAGGATCTTAACTTCAAGATGCATAGATATAAAGAAGAAAAATATTTTTAAGTAAAAAATAATGCATCTTACAACAAATTTTCTGAAACACCTATTCTCAAGATTTATAAATGTTTATAGAGATGCTTAATTTGCATTGGTTTTCACATTTTTAAATTTATATCTAGGGTTAAGCATGGATCTTCAAGCGACTATAAGATTTTCAACATTGAAACTATATCTTTCTAGAAAATTTAAAGGTGTGTTTTACTTATATAGTATAAGGTGTACACTTTATAAAAACCTCACCTTTTTAAAGATGACTTTTACAATGGTGCATATATTTATGACCATCAAAAAGCACGAATTAGAAAAAGAGCCGAAGCTTAATTGGTTAGCACTTGACAATTTGCAAAGTTACGTCCAAGGCTCAATTCCTACAAAGAGTAGAGGCCCTCTCCCCACTGCCTCACCAAAAAAAATAAAATAAAAAAGCATAAATAACTCATTTGAACTAATCCCAAGGATGAAATTTCATACTACTTGGTACTAAAGAAACAATGGAATCTATAAATAAACTCTAGATCTGAATGTTAAAGTATCGAGCATGTCTATAGAAAAAATTGATACTGTTTGGCATGTTTATATATTTATTTTTTATCAGTAAAATATTATTAATTTCTCATTTTTCAATGTAAGTGAAGAGGAAGATGGCAGTAGAAAGTTAGGCGGCCTGAGACAACTTCAGTTCAAAATCACAGAATGCATATCTGGAAACTATTCTTAAAACATACCTATAATGTCCTCAGGTAAACTTTCTATAATGTGGGAAAGGGGTTGAGGTCGTAGTGGTGGTACAACTTGAGTCTCAACTACCGGTCTAGGTTTCCATTCCCACTGATGCATTTGAAAACCGCTAATTATTTCTAAAAACGGGTAGAAGTGTCTAATCCCCACTTATCTTCCTAAGAAAAAAAAAAAAAAACTTATTACAGAGTTCCCAGGTATCGGACAAGCGACATGAGGTCAAGGGCTATAGTATCTTACAATAGACAACATTTTAAGCTAATCATTTCACTCAATGAAAGTTTTCCCTTTACATAGTGAAGATAGGGCTGCCAATCAGGCTCAGCCAAACCACAGGTTTCAGGTTGGGACTGCGCCTTAGGTCATGTGAGCCTGGCCCAATAAATTATTTAGATAATGTATTCGTCTATATTTATTAATATTACACATGAAGTGGATCCTAAATAGTAGAAAAAAAATTCTGATGATGATTCCTGAGCCTAGCAAAAAATTTGGGCTTGGATTGAGCTAGGTCCGGACTCGCACGGCCGTAATTGCAGGTGTGCTCCTTGTGTCCATTAATTGGATTCCATACGGCCACTCATTGGGGCGGACTTGCATTGCTCATAAAGGCAGTGGTGGGCATAGAGGAACACTAGACGCCATAGACGCTAAATTTAAAGAAGAGAATTATGGTGCTTGCCAAAACCAAAGACATGAAGTACTATCACGAGGAACATGGAGGGATCCCTTGAGCCTCTCATGCTAGGCCACATTTTTAAGGAAAATTTTAATAAATATCTCTCTGTAATAGACTGGGTAAGATGGCCAGCCTTGGGCCCTAGCTCAGCCCTAGTGCCCATGGGACTGGCCCAGGTACAGCCCTAACCCTATGCGGGTCTAGGATGGCCGGGCTAGGCCAAATCAGGCTGGTTGTAGCCTAAGCCCAAGTTTTTTAGGGCTGGGTCAAGCCACCTTGTCCATTGCCACCCTTATTGATAATTCAATAGCTCTCATTTGTTTTGCCAAAATATGGGAAGTGACCTTGTGAGACCCTCCCACACCCATGTGTGTAGGATTTCAAAGGATCACCATTAAATTTGGTACAGATCTTTAGAAAAATCAAGTCTCATACCCATGTGATAACTTTTCTAGATATTTGTATCAAATTTAATGGTGTTCTATGTACCCACTTTTTTTGTAACATTATTCCGAAAAATTTGAAAATATGGACTGCCTATATGTGGAAACTAATTACCAAAATGGTCAAGAAACCTTAATTGGAAACTCAAGGTGGAGCAAGTACCCCAACAACTATGTTTTCAAATCAGCTAATTCAGCAACTACTTTCACTAAATTAAGATAGGTTTAGGTTTCCTAGATGTTATCCAACCAATGTTACCTACCTATAATAAGTTAGTGGGGGACAGCTAATGGCACCATCCATTGGGGATTTCCAAAAGGGTTTGTTTCCAAATGATGACCCTATTGCACCAAAGCGTAGCTCATTAAACAAACTTATCTCACAATAATATCTTTGAAAAAAAAAATTTGGATTCCATATGACCTTCATCTCAAGGAAAATGTTTATAAAAGGTGTGAATCTCACCTTGTAGAAGTAAGGTACACCTTAAAAGTCCGTGGAAACAATAATCGACCTCATCGAGACAGATGAATATGAAAAAAAAAAAAATCAAACCGTAAAACTGGTGCGTCTTGTAGCATATTATCTAGACTATTTATTGCTCATGTTTCAACAATTTTGGTTATTTTGGGTTTTGAAATTGTGGCAATCTTCCTTTATTGTTTCGACTTAAGACCTAAAGTAACCCTAGTTTCTTAAACCTTATAAACTATAAGGTGGGCCACATAGAAGGGATAGGCTCTTTATTCCGATGCTCAAAAGTCAATCCCACAAAATGTGGGCCCCATTTGGGAGGAGTTCTTCAACTTTGAGAGAGTCCCGATTTTGATTTTGTGAAGGATAAATAAATAAATGAAATAGAATAGGAATAATTTTGGGTGGAAAAAGGGCGTGAACCAAGAAGAAAAGGCACCGTTGTAAGGTATAGTCAATGGCGTCAGGCCTTTCTTCTTGCACGTTGCCCTACAATTCAGCTTATTCATGCTTTCAACCGCTCATTTAACTTCCCCAACTTCTGTACAACATATAATATTATAAAGCAACTACAAGGCCCCAGTACATCACTTCTTCGAAAATGACCCACACATCTCTTTAATACAGATGGTCGATTAGTTGACATCAGTGTTTGTGACTCGACCGAGTTGCTTGGACTAGCCCCATATTATTGTTTTTTTCTTTTTGGTTGGGTAATTCATCAATAAAAATTGAACTTGAGATATAACAGGGTTAAATGTCAGATTCAAGTCCAAGCTCGATTCCAGACCTTTATCAGCTTGATTAAATCAAAGTAGAAGACTCTAGGTACTGTCCATTAACTTTTATTTGGACGGTTCGTTACGAAAGTCACATGGCATTTCAGAGCACTTTGGCTTCCAAAAAGTTGAACAATTGAATTCAAGCCTTGAAATTTGGAAACACCATCTATTGCAAAATTGGGAGAAATAAGAATTATTATTTTCAAGAAGTTTATTTTTTATTCACGTTTTCTAACAAACATTTTGTTCATCTCTGATAATTTGAGCATAACTTCATCTGGAAATCAGGCTTAGATAATTGCCTTGACTTTATAATCCTTTTTCAATTTATTCCAAAGAGAAGATTTATCAAAAGTTAGTCTTTCTGTACAACCTCCAATAACAAAATCTAATTTAGCTTTTAATTATGATCAGTACACAAAATCTACATGCTTAGAACAAAGAGCAAACCTAACGTTTAAGTTTTAAGAGAGACAATATAATAATCCTGAGGACCATGGAAAAGATACATTCCTCGTGGTCATCACTATCCCTTGAAATGATGAATGGTCGGTTAAACTCTCTCTCCCTCTCAATGTCATGGTCTCCGATCCATTGCCCCCAAGGAATTTGGCGGTCTTGTATTGATTAAGCCGGCACAATCTTAACTCCCCAGATCAAGTCGAAGAGGCCCTGGCCTAAAAGACAGAAAAAAAAGAAGAAGAAAGAAAGCAAAGAGATAAATCTGGCCCTGTCGTAGCATTGGCTCAAGACTGGCTCGAGGCGACCTTCAGAGCATAGTGGCCCAGACCTAGGGCCATATTTTATGACCTAAGACCTAGTTTTTCAGGGCCAAGTAGGTGGGGACAGCTCAACCGGGTCCATTGCCAACCCTACCAAGATTACACTCCAATATCCCACGTTAATGCAGACTCATAGGGTGGGTTATGGGTGTCTCGACATTTTTTTTTGCCATATTTTGCAGTTTACTGTTCACTTCAGTCACCAAACAACCAGGACCTAATTGTTATTTTGTAGAAGTTAGAGAGAAGCCCGTCACTGTCATGAAATCGTAGGTCAGCAAGTTTATTTATTAATTTCATTAATATAAATTTCATTTTAGGTTACCAGCATATATTCCTTAGAAATCACACATGCCCCTGGATCATCACTCGAAGTCATATATACTATACAATACAATATATATATACATAT